TTAATCTGCTTAATGGCGCCGCTCGGCGCGAAGCCGCAGGCGGCGAAAGGCCTACAAGCTACCTCTTCGCGGCTTTTCATAAAAGAGAAGCGCCGATCGTAGCGGCACAGGGGATGGGCGTTGAGACAAGCGGTTAAAAACGCTGTTGCACACGCCGGGCACTGCGCCCCAGCAATTCATTATGTCCGCCGCCAACGCCAGGCGTGGGCGGGGCTGGGCTTAGAGGGCGTGGCGGCACGGGGTGGGCGGTGCCAGCCGGTGCCGGGCGATGCCGGGGGCAAAGGACCAGGCCCGGATGCCGAGACATGTCCGAGCGACGTGACCAGGGGACGCGTGCCGGGAACGTCCGAAAAGCAGAGATGCCGAGAGCGATGCACGGGGCGAGTCCGGCGGTGCCGGAGACAGCGTGCCGGGGCGGTAGCCGGGCCGTGCCGGCGGTGACGGGGCGAGCGCAGCGAACGTAGCAGAGGTCGCCCGTAGGCCAGCAGAGAGAGACCAGTGCTTCCCGGTCGAGCGGCGCGGACACCCTTCGGCCCGGTGCGCGAGAACGCCGCTCAGAGACATCTAGCGGCGGCTGTCGGGACTACAGCGGACCGACGACGTACGAGGCCCGCGAAATGCGGGCGATAAAACTTCGTAGTTAAAAGTCGAACTGGACAGCGAAATACTTCCCACTCTTCCCCTTCGTTCTCGATTTAAATTTTTCATTTTCTGTGCATTAGCTAGACGAACGAAACGGAAAGATTTTTTTCCCGTAAATTCTAAACGAAATAGGATATACCCTAAACATTGATAAAAAATTCACGAACACCTTGAAAGAATGTAGCACCCGATTAAAAATTTGGATGCATTTCAGAAAATTGCAGAAAATACTTTCTGAAGGTACTCAGGTTGATTAAAACTTCATTTCTTTCGCAAAGAGTCAATATGTTCTCTAAGATCCTGATTACTACCAGAAACCATCTTGCTATAAAACAAGTTTCAAAAACTAAAATATTTGTTGCAAGACCGACTTTATTTCTGCTTCTTCTTGAGAAGAATTAGCGTCTTCGGACAGTAATGAAATTGTAAAGAAAATTATATGGGGAAAATAATATGCAAAAACAACTTAATACACATTTTGAATTTTTCTTCGCATGGACATTCCGAGAAACTCGAAGTAATCATGGTAGATTAATGAGCAAAACCCAAATTATGACTTTTCAATAACATTTTCAATACATATTATTAATGGAAGTGGGTTTTTCAAACAATTGGCAAAGTTACAGAATTTTAGCACCTACTTGGAAGTCGTGTCCGTTCTTTGATGGCGCCCCATTAATAATCTTTATTCAGGACATTATACGGTACAAATTATTATTATTATTATTATTATTATTATTATTATTACTATTATTACTATTATTAGTCGTAGACGCTTTGTAGTGATATAAGCAGCAGCATTTCTCTGACAGTGAATCTGCACGAAACTGAAGATTAATTCCCAAGACTAGGACTTCCTTCGCGGGTGGCGAGGTAACTCTCCAGCAGGCCCCCTATCTCTAGAGGAGAGATGGGCTTACATCTTTTCTTCAGTAACTGTTATCGGAATAACGGTTATTAATAACACTTGAAAAATAACACGTCCTTGATCAGCAACCTAACACCACCGACAATGGTCGTACGCTAAGAGTTAAATCAGTGGTGGCGACTGCTAAGAGTAGAAGGAATGACGTTGGTAGCACCTTAAAGCCTGTGCGGCTTGCTTGCACCAGTTTCCTAAACACGATTGGAAAGAGAAACAGCTGAACTGACAGGATGAACTCCCCAGGAAAAATAGTAATTGATGTAATGAGTAGCAAATGTGTATAGAATATCACTAAAATGACAGTGATTCGCGACAGTGATTTCCACTGATTTGTACAGCCAATGAGAATGACTACCGTACGCGTGGCTTGTCGGCGTGCGTAAGCGTGAGAGTGCGCATATTTGGGCGACAATATGCGCAGTACGAGGTAAAACAGAATGGAGATATTTTATAACAAATCCAACTGGCTAAATTCATGTCGATAGTGAAAGGGATGAAGATTTCTCGATTCATAAGTAATAAGAATACAACACATGGACATAAGAACATAGAAACGAAATTCTGAAACACTCAACAAAATAAGAAGACATTGATAGCAGGTTTTTTTCGATTTTTTTTCGATCTTAATTTAAAAAAATTATTAATTAATTTTCGATTCGAACGTAAAATTAGATTATTAACACTTACAATCAACAAACCATATACCCATGAACTGTTCACCTATTAGATAAGGAATCATTTTCATGGTCCTGTCTACATGCTTGCTTTCCAGGTAACCATCAAATTTTATTAAATTTCCCAAGTTTCACCAGACTTACCAAAATTCAGGCAGAAAACTAAATATTGTCAGAAATAGAGTTTATTGTAAGTTGTTCTCCGCAGCTTTTCATTCAGCGAACGACGCCTCTCCCGCGTTTCTAACACTACGAACGACATGGGCGAAGTAGAAAAAGGGCCACAGGTAGCGCATCGCTTACGTCGCCCACCACGCGCGTTCGCCTTCGCGTCGCCCGCCGTCGTTGACGCAAACCACC